ATATACATTTTTCGGCTATTACTTTGAGAGCGGTTGCACAGTATCATTTTTTCCTTTTTTATACTATCAATGTAATTTTATCTGTGTTAGTAGTTAGTTACCATTTATCAGGCGTCCAGTTAATACTTGTCAAAAAATTTTATATGATCTGATTGTGTATATATTTCTTTAAATGGTACAGTCACTTTGTAACGCATGTGGAATTCGACAAAGGAAAGCAAGGAGAGCCATGGCAGCAGCAGCAGCTGCAGCAAATGGGACAAATTTCACGACTGAAACATCAACAACAACAACAGCAACAGCAACAGCAATGAAGATAAAAGTGCAACAGAAACAGAAGATAACTACAAAAGTGAATAACAATCATGTTGTACCCTTCAAGAAAAGGTGCAAATTCATAACATCTACTACTGCTGCTGCTGTTGGATCATCTTCATCTACTATTAATAATGCACAAAAGAAGATTTGTTTCGAGGATTTCTTCGTCAACTTGAGCAACAATTTGGCGTTACATCGCGTTTTTCCACAGGATGAGAAGGAAGCTGCAATTTTGCTAATGGCACTATCTAGTGGCCTTGTTCATGGTTGAGTAATATTTAAATTTCTTGAGTTAATTAAAGGGATTAGCACTAAATTAGTAGTGTGAAATTGAGTTTGAGATCATAATGATAGCTAGAATAATATTAGTGAGAGTGAGATCAGTTGTAGCATGTAAGTCAAGCTACGTACGAAAATTTTAATAAGAAATTAAGTAGTACTAGTAGTAGTAAGTTTGATCTTGTGTGGTGGTGATCTTTGTAAGCTTATAATGATAGTTTTTGAGCAAGATGATAACAAGAACATTTATCACTTGTTCATCTATCTGCTTGTGTGATGATTTTCAAGTTTATTGATGAATATTCTCTCCAAAACCGTAAATATTATTTTCTTTAGGGATATTTACAGAAATATTCGGTCGGATTAAACGTTTACGTATTTTCTGACATGTATACATAGATTATACACATATTATACATAATATTATGGATCAATCGGCTATTTTTAGTTAAAGAGGTTGGGTAAACGGCATTTTAGGTTAATTCTTCTATTTCTTTTATATACTAGTTCATAGATATTACAACAACAACAATAATTAATACCAGACCTAGAATAATTTCATAAGTGGAGGTCTGTGGAATGTAGTGTATACGTAGTATAAAGACTGTTCTCAATAGACTTTCGGCTTAGGAAAAACACTAGTTTATTAGATATTATACAGAACAATTCTTTTTACCTTTTCTTATTTTATAAAACGCATGAAAGAAGTGAATTCTGTTAATTAACTAGGGTGACAATTACATATAAAATCTTAACATTTACTTAAATTATATTTTCAATATTCCTCTTTACGGGCAGTCCTATTTTAATTTTATGAGTCAAGTACACGAAAATTCTTTTTAATAACGTGTGACAGTAAAAACTTGAATTCAGGAGCTCTATGTACTCAAATAACATGGTGAAGAGTAATAAGTTTCTTTTTTCAGTAAAATATCAGTCAGTACAATGATCAACTTGACAAAAATATGTGGATGTTTAGGTTGGGTACGCAAAGAGAGTATTAGGGTTTGGGACCAGCTTCACAAAAGAAAACAAATTATGCTTTTAACAGAAATATAAAGTGACACTTACACTGTGCGCGGCTGGCATGAATGGCTCATATCTATGAATCATTATTCTGATGTTTCATTATAAACAGTAGCTCTTGATGTTCGCAGAAGTCGTTTGCGGACTCAGGGGAGCTACAGTTTTATATACGGATTATGCAGAATTCGATAACTTTAGCTCATACAATGTATATTTGTATTAGACAATCAACTTAACATGTAAAAATAAATTATCCTGGACCCAATAAGTTGTATATTTAAGAATCTAGAACTCATTAACTTAAAATCCAAAATCCAATCTTTGAACTGAAATAGAAGGTAATATGTACCTTTATAAGAAGTTAAAATAAGGGGAACTACAATTTTACATACGGCAGTGACACATACGTTATATATTTGTATTAAAAAATCAACTTAGTATGTAAAAATAAATTATCCTGGACCCAATAAGATGAATGTTTTAGAATATAAAATCATAAAACTCAAAACCTTGAAGCCGTCCTTGAATTGCAGTAGAAAGCAGTACTTACATTTATATGAAAATAAAAGCGAGCTTCAGTTTTACATACGAATTCAACAAAACTCAATAACTTTAGCCTATCCCTTGTATATTTGTGTTAGTAAATCAAATTAACATGTAAAAATAAATTATCCTGGACCAACAAGCTATATGTTTTGGAATCTAGAACTTATTAATTAACTCAAAATCCTGAACCCGTCTTTGAACCGAAGTAGAAAGTGGTATGTACTTTTATACGAAAATAAGAGAAAACGAAAAGAGATAGAAAAACTTATTAGAATTTCTTATTTTTTCAGTGTCATCTCAACCTCATCCCACGGTCCCGTACAACCCACAACAATAGAAAACAAAAAAAAAGTTTGAACGTTAACGAAATGTTACAAACACGTACGCCTGAATTTTCCTTCTTACTTTTTGCAGTAAATTAGGAGGCTTTTGTGTTCTTTCATTTCATCTGGTTCTATTAGAGTCAACACGAAAAGATGACATGATACATTAGCTATTTACCAGTATTAGTAATTTCATAACACCTTAAATTGTATATATTATATTAATGGTGTAATTTTTTTTTTTGACATTATCAATGAATTTTAACCTGCAATAGCAAGTTAGATATAATTTAGGGAGAATTTCATAAAAGTACAACTGAACAAAATGCATTTCAACCGCTTAGCCCAAAACAATATCTTTATCGGATGTTTGTGAGCACGTAATTTTTGCCTAATATATGAAATTACTCCTAAAAATCTCAAAAAATAGCTTTTAATTATTTTATAAAATTTTAGGAATTTTTCTATATTTTACTTAATTTGTTTTGTGCGTATTTGTGTTTGGTGCATTTTAGTAGCATTTTAAATCTTAAAAAATAACAAAAATATTGTAATCTTTATATTTTTAGATTTTAGTTGCATAATTAATTGTATTTGTAAAACATTAAAATACCAAAAATATATTAGCCACTTTACATGCATTATTAGTTAAATAATTTAGTTAATTGTTAGAAAAATGGATAATTAGGTTAATTTTGCAAAGTTAGCTTTAGTTAGAATTAGATTGGTCAATTTAGAAATTATTTAGACTAGGAAAGAAAGAGGCTATTTACTTTGTTTTCAAATGGGCCAGTGATAAGAGGCCCAATTCTCGCCCCAAACCCATCCGCTAGCCCAAGCCCATCTGCCTAAAACCCTCACACTCATATACATTCATAGACCCTCCCATGGAACAAAAACCTTAGCCGCCTCCCTCCTCCTCCTCTTCTTCTTCTTCTCTCTCGAGCAGCCGCTCACTTCCGCCTCCCTCCTCAAATGAGCTTCTCAAAAAAAGAAAAAGATTTGAAAAAACCAGGTGTTGTGAAAAAAATTCATTCTCTGCCGATTTGTTTGGACGAATTCAGTCGGTTTTCAAGGTCAAATCGAGTTCTTAAGGGGCTGTTCATTGCTGCTGTTGCGATTGTTGAGTAGCTGAGCTCCATTCCTCATTTTAGACTTTTATTTGGCCGTCTACTGCTGTTCTGTAATTGTTAGGTGCGTCTGCCTATTCTTATTGTCCTCTTATTTGACTATGAATGAATATTTGAGTGCTAATTCTATGAACGTGCTAAATCTTGTGGAATCCGGATGCTTTGACTACCAGATCTGCCTGTTTGTTTCTATCTGTTGATAATTTTGGCTTTCGCTACTACTGTTTTGGTCTAAACTCAGCATGTTAGTGGCTGAATATCATCATGTTTGGCAACTGTACTGTTAATTGAGCACTTAGTGAATTCGCAAGAGTTTTGAATTGGATTGTTTGTTACTGAAATGTTCATTCCTTGAGGATAAAAATGTCAATGCATCATGAACATGAATTTAAGTTACTAACTTTGAATAAAAGCTAGAATAAGCAGTGAATTAGTTTCGTGGTGAGTTATTGTGAAAACTAGCAGCATATTTTCATTACATATATCGGCTCTATTTACTATGAATTGATTACTGTTGTAGCTTTAGATCCTGAATGCTATTGTAGTAGGATATAAATCCATAAGTAAGGTAAATCAGTGATTTTTCAGTTATGTAATTAAATGGGTTATAGTTTACTAGTTCCAGCATTTGATTCCATAATTGGTTTTGTTGTTCCATACAATCCATTTCATTTAGCTTCGGCAGAAATTTTTTTTAGTTTAAAAGCCAATGGCCTGATCTTAACTTGAGGCAAATTTCAGATTAGTTTTAATTCGCTACTTCTTAGATATTGTAAAGATAGAATATTAGCCTTGAACCAAGACATAATGCAATCCATCTTATGAACAAATTAACGATCCAATCCATACTGCCTCACACTCATATCCATAATTCATGGCCTCACATGGATCTCAAATCTTAGGAAAATAAATAATTTAAAAATATTCGTAGTGAGCTTTAGGCGCGATTAATAATAAACGTCGTGACTATGGCTACGGTTCCCGAGGCTTAATTACGATACGTAAACCCCAATTCGAGTGTGCCTTTCACGTAACTCGACCATAACTTCAAATAATAATAATAAACATGTTGTAAATCGCGGGTGCGTTTCACGTGACGCGATTCACAAAGTGTTCAAAAAAACAATAAGTGCGCGACATCGGGACTTATTCAAATAAATTCCATAAATACCAAAAGCGATAGAAATAATGAAAAGCGGTTAGAAAGTTCAAAATGCACAATAGGTTTCAAACATGTAATTAATCAGATAATTAAGTCAATTATTAATAGTTGAGCGATCGTGCTAAAACCACGAAATTCGGGAATGCCTAACACCTTCTCCCGGGTTAACAAAATTCCTTACCCGATCTTCTGTGTTCGCAGACCAAAAATAGTCATTTTCCTTGATTTGGGATTCTAAAATAAACTGGTGACTTGGGACACCATAAATTATTCCAAGTGGCAACTCTAAATAAATAAATAATCCCATTTTGAATAATGTCACTTTAATTGAAAAAGCTTCCTATTCCCTATCCCTCGGTGAAAAGGAGGTGTGACAATGGCCCAATAAATGTTAACAATCAGTTCTTTTTCTAGTAATATGATATCATTCACATGGTATGGCAAGATTTTTTTAATTTTATTTTTACAATTTCTCAAGGTTACACCCCCCCCCCCCATCTC